CATTGCTCCCTGCCAGCAAAGCCACCGCAGCTCCCCCGGGCCGCTCTCTGCTACCATCTCGCTGGCAGCCGGGTTTGTACCTTCAGGGTCTCCAGGTCTGGCCGCTCTTTGGCCACCACAGCAGCCAGGAGCTGGTCCTCCAGTCCCTCCCGGGTCACCAAGAAGTTGATCAGCGTGCACTGAGCCTGCACCTCTGGCTTGTAGTGAGGGTTGGAATATTTGGTGTGCAGAATCAGGCGGAAGCGCGGGTGATATTCCACTTCTTTATCTCCTATCCGAATGTATCTGTTCAGTTAATTAAACAAATTAATTTCTGTACACTTGGCAGTAACTTGTCACAGACAGAAACCCTCAACCCGTGTACTGTTCCCGGCCACTCCAGATGTATTTCTCTGGTCGGGAAAAGGCGTAGCAAGGGCAGAAGTGCCAAAAGAGCCCTGGCAGGGCAAAGGCCGGAGGAGCAGAAGGAGCTGGCGGCTGCCCTGCCTGCAGCTCTCAGACAGCTGCTGGGCTCATGCTGCTTGCACACACCGTGCCACAATGCAAGGGGAGGGCGGTGCAGCTCCCTCTCCAGCAGCCCCAGAGCCCTGTCCCTGCAGTCCCGGGGGACCGGTCCTCGCCAGACCCTGGGAAACGCGGCCAGGAAGGTCGGTGGTGTCCGGGGAAGGCAGCACTGCCTGCAGCAGGGCTGGCAGTGCCTAGTGGGGCGGGGGAGATGGGGCAGGGGATTCTCAGCAAAAGCCCCATCACAGAATAGCTTCTGTGTCTGCCAAGAGAACTCTCCCAGTTTATCACACCTTATTGCAGGTGCACCAGGGAACACGCTCTTCTTAAACCACTAAATGAACTGGGCTCTGCAGACCAGAACGGTCCAAAACATCACATCAACTACAGGTGTCCCCACTGAGAAATACCTGGAGGAAACCAGGGGATATGGCCAGGGGCTTTCATGTGCATGGGGAAGGATCAGGCCCCAGCCGCTGTCAAGCAAAGGGGCACAAATCGGCATTTTTAGGGCAGCAGTGGTTGCTCAGAGCAGGTGAAACTCCTCGGCACCAGAGAACAGGGTGTGCTGACCTGCCCTTCTTGATGGTGTTCCTGCCCAGCAGATGGTCCAGCACCGGCTCCACTGTCTCGCCAACATCTTCGATCAGCAGCGTCTGTCCTTCGGAAACCGCCTGCTCGATTGTGTCCAGATAGCTGCGGCCGAGAGGGGAGGGAGGCGCGGCATGGGGCGAGCATGTGTGTGCTGCAGGGAGCTCGGGCAAGCTCAGGCGAACGCCCTCCAGCCTCTGTGCCCTGGTGGGACCCCCGCGGCGCGCTGC